TGGGGAAGACAACCAAGACCTCGAAAGGGGAGAAATCGAGGTATTTTCGAGGCCTTGGTTGTCTTCCCCGAGGTGTTCGACCTTGTCGAGGTCTCCAAAAGGGGGCGAGGGCATCCGACATTTTGGGGAGAAGGGGGGTCGACCTGCACCAGTGTACGCATCCGGTTTGTGAAGAAAAGGAGATAGCCCCGGAAATCTCGCCGGAAATCAGATTGACCCATGAACATTAGTATTTCACCCACCGAGCTACTCCATCTACTGACTATTATAGACGACATGCGATCCATTGACGCCTCCACCGGGCCTGCTCGGCACCAAACGTCGACCACACAGCAATGCCAAGAGTTTGTCACCCAACGATGGGCGCTATGCTCGGTCTCAATTACACTTGCAGTGCGGTTGTCATCTAGCATGTGCCGCCCTCGAAAATATTAAGAATGACGTCACAACATTCGTTATTTGCACACATCCGATAGACTGTTGCAACGGCCAATACTCACGAAAAACGGAGACCTCGCGAAGCATACGACAGGAGCATGTTGGCTGGACGATTTATGCCGATCCACGCGCCGGGGGAGGCTAGAGACTATCTATGTAGCTATATAACCAGGTGGTGTCGTCGTTAGGGAGACACCTTGCATGTTTTGACGTGTCAACGTCCTTTTTGGTACCATCGCGTGCTCATTCGAGGTATAGACTACAGTAGTCTATTTCGCTCTTACCGCTCGTCGGCCTCTCTCTCTCGCAGGGTAGTAAGCAGACAACCTCTCTCCCGATACAGTATTGCGCGCTTGACTTCGACACGAAAAGTGAACCACTGCCAAGAACCAAAACCAGGGTTGGTTGTGATTTGTGAGCCGGTGCGCTCGTGTGCTCGTCGCCTCGGCAAGTTAGTTACCCTTGAAAGAACAATAAAAATAAAGGCACACCTCTCGCGACGGCGAAGCGGAACAAAACTTGGGGCACAACGTAACATCTTCGAGGCGTTTCGTTTTCCCACGGGTCAAACATCAAACAGTTTGAGCCTGTTACCTACCCACAGGGGGCATGTCGCTACAAGCTGCTGAGGGAATCGTAGAAGTACAGGTGGTGTCTGCGAACGCATCGGTTTTCTTGCGAATCCATCCCGAATTCGTACCTGTGATGGGATAGATGGGGTTTCAACGTCGCAAGTGCTGGTTCGTTGTTGTAAAAAATGTCACGCTGCGCATACATACGGGGAAAGCTTGTTTTTTTAAACGATACATGCCAACATGCACTACAAAACAATACAGAGTCTACGTGCCTTTATTGAGAAGTTGAAACATATGCAACTCATACTATCATTCATTCCGCATTTCTTGGCAGGTGAAGGTCCAGTGGAGAGTCCTTGTTCATGGGTACACTAAAGGAAGCACTGATGAACCGTCGGAACAGCTTTAAGTATGGCCGCATGCACAGACGAGGAATCACGTTATGTGGGCACGTGTCCCGAAAATAGCTCTAGACTACAGGGTTGGAGACAAAGACCGTACGGGAGATAGCAAATACGAGCGATGGAAGAAATAAGTAACAGGGAGGGCGAGAGCATGGAGGAATGTCCTCCGAGGATCACGCGAGGAGAGAACAATTTTCCTTCAGAAGTCCAGCAAGAAGACAAAACCCAACGTACTGAGACACCAAGTCTAAAATAGTATGCTCGTGGTGACGGATTACTTATAGCCCATTTCGGAGGCTGGGTCACCAAATCTAACATGGATGAATCGATCTCTATCTGTATATATGTAGGTCATTTTCGCAGATAGTGAAACCACGAGGACCGCAACAAAACAAACACACACACACACACACACACACGAATATGGTTGGTTTCGAGTAGGGTTGTGGCCACGACAGTTGTTTTTTTTGCCTCAAAGATTGGGGAAGAACATTTCCTGGGTGAAGATCACAACACAACATCCACAACAACAACAACAGCTCGTCTTGCCTGTTCCGACGTGTATCTCTCAGTTCGTTGGTACTTCTGAGGTCCATTCTGGACATGGTCCAAAAGTCCAAAACAACGGCCACGAACCAAGTCAAACCGCACACGGCATGGGTCCAACAACAAACACAAGCTGCGCGATGTGATACTCTATTCTATTCTGCAGGACGCCTTGCTCTCTACACTACGCCCAAGATGTGACACTAGCGACTCGCGACGATAACCGTTGTCTCTCTAATGTTTGTAACGTACTCTTGTGGCCAACACCAGCACTACAGGCGCTGGAAACACAACCATCCCGTGCTTGGCGATCAGTTGCGGGCCGGAAGCCTCAGAACGCTCACGTAGGCCGCGAGCAACCCGGATGCTGCTATGTGAAGGGCAGCCACTCGTATGGTCGACTGCTGTCATCTACTAGCGGCTTGTCCCGGCTATCCACTTCGCCCGCCCCTTCCTGTCGAAAACGGTGAATTTCCCATTGTTTTGCATCCTGGGGGGGTGAGACGGACGAGATAGGGGTGGGGGGGGGTGTACTCATTGTCGTGCATGCCGTAGTCGTTAGACCATTGACCTCGCATCCCTACAAAGCCGGGACGGAGCATGCCGGGTTCTCACCGGACCAGGCTCTCACATCACCAAGCGCGAAGCACCGTGAGGTATTCGGCGAGTCGCATGAAGGGTGAGCTGCATCCTGCTAACGGTGTTCGGCATCTTGTGCTTACTTCCTTGCGTACGGATGACAGCTGCGTATGACTTAATTTATTTTCTGGTGCTTTCACCTCCAGAGACAGCAGTTGTAAGCACTGTGTAACTGCCTCGAGGATGCTTGACCAATTTAACACAACGTGGTGCGATCATCCCCCTTGCGCGGAGTGAGGTTTCTCCACCCCGCACAACATGATCTACTCGACCACCATTATGGTTACCGCCAAAAAAAAAAACAGAGGTAAAAAAAAAAGCGGTAACCTGGTTGCCGAGTTCACAAAAGTGAAATGGGTTGTTTTACAACCTCGTTGCCCAGC